CGATTACTGTCCTTTTTCTTTGACAAAAGACGAGAGCCTAAATATAAATATAAACCTAGCCTACATGAGCATTATGTATACAGGGTTATCCAAATTAAGTGTCCACCATTAGTAACTTTGTTATTAGTGAAAATACAAAGTTGTTTGAATTAGCAAACTAGTAGCATTTTTAACGCTGGTAAAAATGAGAAATAAAAAAAAACAATTGATAGTCGTTATTTTGACTTTTTTCAGTAAAATAACATTTTTTTAAATAGAAACCCCTGTATATTATATTTTTTTCTGTTAAAGCATCAAATTTTAAACAAAAAAGCTTTCAATAACTTTTCTCCTAGGTTACAAATTGTTGAAGTTATGGCCTCCAATCTGAAACAATTAAATTGTATCGACAAACTTTATTCTCAACATCAACTTATAATCTTACAAAATACAATAACAATTTTTTTTAAAGAAGATGCTCGAAAGCACCACCTTGTTCTTCAATACATTTTTGGGCACGTTTTTCAACTGCTCGAACTGTCTTAAGTATGGTCCTACCATCTATCTGGGTTATCTTTTCCCTAACTGCAGTCTTTAACGCGTCAAGGTTATCGTACCTTCGCTTGTAAATTTGGTTCTTTAAGTAACCCCACAAGAAGTAATCAAGTGGGTTTAGATCTGGTGATCTGGGAGGCCACTGTATTGGGCCATTTGTTCCTATCCACTGATCATTAAAAGTAGTACTTAGAAAATGATAAGTACCTCTGGAGTTGTGGGCAGGTGCGCCATCTTGCTGAAAATGCAGGTGATGTCTACTTATAAGATCCAATTCGTCTAAGAAATTAGTCAGAATTTCTGACATAAATTCCACATATCTTTCACCAGTTAGGGTTCCCTCATAAAAGAACGGGCCAACAATTTTTGAACCAATTATACCGCACCAAACGTTGAAACTGAAACGGACTTGTGGGCCTCTTGGATGTACTAACAAAAGATTTTCTCTTGACCCATAATGGTGGTTTTTTCTATTAAACATTCCAGAATTTGAAAAATTTGATTCATCTGTCCATAAAAGGCGACAGAAGCTAAGATACCAATGGCAAAAAACAAGTCTTCTCTCTGGATCCCCTGCCAAAAGCGTTTGAACTGGTCGGTACTTATACGGAATAAATTTGTATTTTTTTAAAATCCTTAGAACAGTACCATAACTGAAATTAGAGTCCTTGAGAATATCTGCTATTGAATTCTCACGATAAGCTTCAAAATATCCAATAACTGCAATTTCCGTGGCCTCGCTTATTATGAATTCTTTTTTTGCCCTTGTTTTAGCAAAAACATTTTCGTTGCCCCTAAATTTTCGATAAAGTCTCAGAAAATATCGTTCATACGGTTGAATGCGAGCGGGATATAATTCACTGTAGTATTCTCTTGCTCTCAAGGAGGATTTTCTGCACACTAAATAGCATTCTAACATATCACACTTTTCTTCATGGGAGAACATTTTTCTTTAAATTAATGACACAATAAAGCTTATAAACAAGTATTTACACTAATGTTTGACATTATTTGATTTTATCATTGTTTTCCAAAGCCTTCTAGTTGCGAGTATGTCCAGTTTAACAATTTGTCGCTTATCTTAATGCTGTCAAATCGCGAACGCCATGTTGTTTTCATAGCCGTCTTAATATTATAATACTGCAAATAATTAAAAATATTTATCGTTATTTTGACTTTATTTTTGACTTTAGCGGAAAAGTCATTATGAACTTTTTTGTTTAAAATTTGATGCTTTAACAGAAAAAAATATAATATACAGGGGTTTCCATTTAAAAAAATGTTATTTTACTGAAAAAATTCAAAATAACGACTCTCAATTGTTTTTTTTTATTTCTCATTTTTACCAGCGTTAAAAATGCTACTAGTTTGCTAATTCAAACAGCTTTGTATTTTCACTAATAACAAAGTTACTAATGGTGGACACTTAATTTGGATAACCCTGTATATACAGGGTGGCGCACAAAGTATACTTAAATAGGTACATCAGATTAGTTTGTACTAATTTCAGAAGAAATTTGACTAAAAGGATTTACTTAATAAGTAAATGCTTTTCTTCACTACGCCCATGGTTTGTTCATCATTTTGTTATTGAAAATGGATATTGGAGCGTTTTTTTGTGGCAAAAAAGTTATTTCTTGAAGAAAGAGAAGGAATTTTTAGTTTTTTAAACTATTATTTATTTTTCATCTTTAGCAATTAATTTTTTGTGGCCAAGCAGCAAAAGCGTGTTAATTACTCAAAAAAACCAAGCGGATTTGAACATATGTACTTGTTTAGTATACTGTAGAAACAGTTTTAAAATATATCTTCTACACTTTCTCTTCAATGCCTTGTAAAACGCCGTCTATGATGGTTATGTTGTTTTCCTACACGCCAAACCCTACCAACCCCGAAAAAATTGATTTGTTATTTTTTCTTGCCGTTGAGACTCTACGTCAGCAGCTGACAACTAAGGAAATCCTTCATTTTTAGGGAACTAGGTTAAGGCCCGACAGCGACAGAAGGATAGGCAAAAAAAAACAACAGAAATATAGAGAAGTATAAGAATATGAGGCAACTATTCGAAGTCATTGTGATATGATTCTTTCCTTGTGTTTTCGATTGTTTCGGTTTAAAGGGTTTATATATTCCTCCCAAGTCATTTGTGTATCAGAAGAAAGTTTACTGGGTCTACGGTATTGACGAATATGGTGACACAAGCGTATTACCATGGTCTGCGTCTTTGTAGAAGAGTCTATTTGGTAATAAATTTATTATGTATTCAATATTTGCAGAAAAAGGTAGATCAATCGATTCGCTACTACAAAGCATTGTTGTCATGTGTCATCGGCAAACAGTAAAAGTTTTTTTGTATTACAATTGGGATGGTCATTTATGTATAATAAGAATGAAAGTGGACGCAGCACAGAACCCTGCAGGACGCCACATGAAACTGTCACTGTACCGGAGGTAGTGTTGTTGAAGGTTACAAGCTGCTGTTGCTCAAATAAGATGACAAGAGCCTACGGCTAATATACCGAGTGACAAAAAAGGTAAACAACTACGTATCATCGCTTTAGATCAGAACTAGCCTATGTCCCTTTTTGTTAAAATTGAGATTTTAGACTATATGATGCAGTAAGGTGTCGCCGATCAAGTGCAGTACTAATCTAAGTCCTAACGTTTATATTTTTCAGGTACTGATTAAATTGAAAATAAGCCTATGTCCTGAAGCTAAATAATTTTTAGTGCAGAACTATCCTTTTTAGAACAGTAATTCTATGTCCATATTTCGGTAAATAATTTTTAATGCAGAAGTATCCTTTGTTGGGACAGATTACCTATACTAGTGAATTGTGTGGACTTAAGCTAGTTCTACTTTAAAACAAAATTTTATGTCCAATAAAATGTGGACTTAGGCTTATTCTGATCTATAATTTTAATAAACCCTCACACTCTGCACTGTACTGGTTTCGACTTGTTAGAAATCTTGGTATTTCAAGCGCGACCGTACACGAATAACGCGGATTACCTTAGTTTAAAGCAGTTCTTAGTGTAAAGTGATCGAGTTTGCGCAACGTAAACAAATTAAATATGAGTTCTACAAGGAAAAAAATATTTGATCTTCTGGCCAAGCACTGTGATGGTGAGTAGTGCCTTTCTAGCTATAAAATTATTCTTAAGTAACACATTAACATTGAAAATACATTTTTAGCTACTGGTTCAGGATAAATTCTATTTATTTTTTTAATTGTATAAATAAAAAAACAAATAATAAAATTTACACTTATAAAACTCTGTATTGAATGTTTTCCTTTATTTTTTTATAAATACCAACCATGACAAACTAAAACTATCTTCAAGACCAGAAAAAATAGACGCCCAATATTTGATGAATACAGCAAATCTTATGCCGCCTGGTTATTTACTCTCTAAGGAAACGGCTGCTTTTAACAAGAGCGATAATGCATTTTGCAGTATGAACCTCGAAAATATAAAATCAGTTTTAAGTCTTGAATCCAATAAAGTTATACCGATTGTGGCCGATAAAGGAGACGCAAATGCTAGTGAAGAAGTAAGAAGTGTTCTCGAAAAAATTATAGGTAAGCAAACTAACGTGTAAAAAGAATTAGTAATATTAAAAATCAACTCTGGAAAATGTTACTTCTGTGGACAAAGCTGCAGAGTCCAGTAGAGTGAATTTAAGGCTAATTTAGGAAAAAAATGGCTATTATAGGAAGAACTACTTTTCGGTCTAATCCAGAAAAAACACTTTACCAGTAACCAAGCAATTATACTCAAAGTACATGGTATACATCTCACTCAGTATATGATTTTTGGCCAAACATACTGAGTTTCAGTCAAATAAATGTATGTGGCCCATTTTTCAATAGACCTAATAATAAGAGTGTTTCACAAGGTGTGTATACTTCTATTCTCAAAAATAATATCTAAAGCTCCGGTTTTGTTGATAACAGTTTTGAGGCTAAAAAAACAATAGGCTTTTGAGGCTTTTCAAAAACAATATTTAGTTATCCTTATAAATAATATAAAAGTATTTTGATAGAAATTTCTTACTGAGACTTTTAGTTCTAGACGTAATAGAAACTGACCAATTGGACCCTGAAAAATGTGGCAAACGGAAAAATATTGTCGAAGAGGATCTGTATTTATCATCGGACTGATGATGAAGAAAACGACCCTAATTTTAATCCACAAGAAAGCAAAAAAAAGAAGAGAAAAAACTTTAGTTTTGAAAACAATTATCAAGAAACTGATACAAGTTCTAACACAGATGAAAAGAATAATAATGCTAGAAAAATATCTAAAAAAAGCTAAGAGGAGAACATACTTGGAAAAGAAACATAATTAAGTCATCGAGAAATCAAGTAAAGAAATACACCAACTGGAAAGGAAAGAAACAATTAGCAAGAAAAATGAAAACATCATGTGAAGATAAATGTAGAATGAAGTGTCTAAATAAAATGAGTGAAGAAGAAAGACATACAATATTTACTGAATATTGGGGATTAGGAGATGTCAACCGCCAACGTGATTTCATATCCAAATACGTTACAGTAGTTTCTGAAGTTAGAACTAGAATTCGTAAAAAGAATAAGCATCATCCCGCTGAAGAACCAGAAAAGAATGACAATACTTTCTTAGAACTGCCTAATGATAAAAACAGTAGAAGAAACAGTACTTTTACATTCTCTCTTCCCAGAAATGAAAACAATAAGGTGCAAATATGTAAAACTTTTTTCTAAATACACTGTCAATTAGTGCACAGGTAGTCAAAACCGTTATGAACAAAACTGGAACTTCAGGTATTGTTTCCGAAGATAGACGAGGAAAAGCTTGTAAAAACACTCTTATTGACGAGTCTACTAAACAAAATGTCAGGGATCACATAAACTTATTTGAGACAATTGAAAGTCACTACTGTAGACAAACGACCAGTCGTAAATATTTACCCCCAACACTTAACGTAAGCAAGATGTATACCATGTACCTGGAGTATTGTCAGGAAAATAATATTACGAAAACAATAACTGAAGCAATGTATAGAACAATCTTTAATAGGGATTTCAATCTATCCTTGTTTCAGCCCAAAAAGGATCTCTGCGATATTTACCACAAATACGGTAATAGTTCTCCAGAAGAAAAATTAGAGTTGGAAGAAGATTATCGCATCCATATCCTAAATAAAAATAGGGCAAGAGAAATCCAACAGTTTGAGAAACAAAGAGCAGCTGAGAATAGCAGTCAGGTTTGTTGCGCTGTCTTTGACTTACAACAAGTGTTACCAGTTCCCAAATCTAATGTTGGCCTATTACAAATTAAAATTATCAACTTACAACTTTACTGTGTTCAACCTAGCAACAAAAGAGTGCAATTGAGGTGCATCAGAGATTGGAAGTTGTTTACGTTTGTACATTATCAGCCAAGTAGGACAGGGAATAAGAGAATTTAGCTTCTTTTCTGAAAACTGTAGCGGTCCAAACCGCAACAGATTTTTGTACTCTTTGTACAGCTATTTATCGCAAAAATATCAAATAAAAATACAACATACCTACTTAGAAAAAGTGAAAGGTGATTGCGTACATAGCGTAATAGAAAGAGCTGCTCGAAATATACCTATATACACACCAGATCAGTGGTATACGGTTGTAAGGACAGCTGAAAGAAAGGATCCTTACAAAGTAGGTGAGCTTGCACAGGAAAATATATATGATTTAAAAGATCTTGAAAAAAGGATGTGTATTAACTGGGAAAGAGATGAAGAAAACGAAAGAATGTTTTTAAATAAAATAAAAATAGTTGAAGCTGATCCACGTTTCCCCAACACTTTACTTTTTAAAGTAAATTACGACTCTACCTACAAGAAATTAAAGCTCACAGAAAAAGGAAGAAAAAAATAGATGTAGAGATAGCCACACTAAAACTAAAACAATGCTACGAAAAGGAAATTTCTTTAAAAAAAAAGAAGTTTGATCATCTTCAGTTTCTTTGCCATAAAGAAGCAATTATAGCGCCTTACCATAATTACTTTAAAAATTTACCATTTTCCAACAAAACGAAATTTCAAGATTCCGATAGTGATGAATAATCTAAGATATGTTTTTATTTATGTAGAAATTTAGGGTCAGTTAGAAATATTATTCATTTGCTTAAAAACATAAGTTATTTTAATTATTTAAAAAATTAATATTTTTTATTTTTCAGAAACTACAGCTACTTAAGTTTTAAGTTTTTTATTTCTATTACTTACTTATTGTATTAATAAAAATTATTCTAATAAATTTTATTATTTTATTATTAAATTTGTGTTTTTATAGAAAAAAGTCAATAAATCAGTTTTCACAAAAATGTTGACCAAGTAATAGATAATATTTTACGTTATTATCGTAGCAGGTTTTGAATAAAAAATCATAAAATTAACCACTTGACTATATTATGTCCATAAACATATAATAAGCCTAAGTCCAAGAAGTGGACTTGTATACTTGCTAAAATTGAAAGTAATCTATGTCCAACTTTTTGCTTTAACGTTAATGTTTTTCGTTTTTACTAAGGTATATTAAAAACAGACATATTTAGAACATGTGTACAAATTTTCATTAAAATATCTGTATAAATAAAGAACCTATTCAAAAAAATCCGTTTCCTGAAAACATTGATTTTTGGACTTCTATTCTAAAGCGACGGTATGTTTATTAGAATTCAAGAATTTTTTGCATATCGATTTATCTTGACATGAACAACAAATGATAAATTGGTCAGGTTTGCTGTTAAGTTGTTGTGGTGGTTGCGTGTATTGTTTGGTGATAAGCAAGCATTCGGTTTACGGTGTCAGTTAAATGTTGTTGACAAGCCTTTTTGTGATTGATGTGATTGATGTAACAAATTTTGATAATACAATTATTGCTGGACATTCAGCTGCACTAAACAGATTTTTGGGATTTTCAAGTCTTTCTCAAACCAATCTACAGGGTGGGTCAAAAGAAGCTGACCTATTTTAAACTTTAATAACTTTTTTATTTATTAATATTTTTTAATGTAGTTTTTACAAAAATAAAATATATTTATTGGAGTTTGTTTTCGTATTAAGTATGAAAAATAATGTCGCGTAAGTGACGACCATTTTCTCATTCACACACAACATTCCTTTCCAAGACGTTGTCCATAACTGCCTCCAATGTTTCCCGATTTATGGTTCGAATTTCCATTACGATATTGTCCATAAGTTGTCTTAAGGTTCGAGGTTTATTGCAGTAAACTCTTTCTTTCAAATATCCCCATAGATACGAATCTGGCGCGGTTAAATCAGGAGAACGTGGGGGATATTCAATTGCCGATCTTTTTGAAATCAGACATTCTCCAACGAAGTCTCTTAGCAATGCCATTGTGGCTCCAGTTGTATGAGCTGTGGCTCCATCCTGTTGTAACCACATATCAGGTCTATTTTCAAACGCTGGAATCAGAAAAATTTCAAGCATAGCTCTATACCTCTCGCCAGTAACAGTCACCGCAGTTCCATCGTCATTTTGAAAGAAATAAGGCCCAATAATACCCTGGGTGGTAACACCACACCAAACCGCACATTTAATGGGGTGTAATTCTCTCTCGTGTACAGCCCTTGGATTTTTCCTTCCCCAAATTCTTGCAGTTTGCATATTCACAAAACCATTCAGATGAAAATGCGCCACATCACTCATTATTAGACGATTAAAAAAATGTTCTTCCTCTCTAACCAATTGCTGAAAACGAATGGCATAAATTATTTGTTGTGCATGATCTTGTGGTCGTAAGTGCTGAACCATTTGAATTTTTTAAGGAAACATCCGCAAATGTTTCAAAATTTCCCTGGGTTTGAAAACGCCGAATAGTGCTGCGGATAGCCCCAGTGGATGGGGCGTTTCGAACATTAAAAAATCTTCGATAAGCTCTCTTGGTGTTTACAATCGAATGATTATGTTCATAGTAAAATTGTACGACTTTGGCTCTCTGGATTAGATTAAGTCTCTCCATACTAAAATATCCAGAGCTCTACTTTGTAAATCTGAAAAAAAATCAAATATGTTTACATGGGAAAAACTTATGAATTTTTAAAATCAGGAACTTTTGGCCCACCCTGTATTTTGAATGCTAGAGAAAGATGTTGGGTTTGGTGATAACTGACATAACCTGCGAAACTTATCATAATAATTTGCCGCTGGTCAAGGAAAATTTGCATCACCCTTCTCTATTTGTGGTTTGTGAAACTAAATTCAATGCCACTCTTAATTTTGACACGAATTTCTTCTATTTCTAACTTAACCGAAATCACCCAGGAAATTGCAGAGCTCTTAGATAATAGGAGTCAGATGGATGTGGTCTACATGGATTTCTCAGATAAGATTAGTCACCAAAGAATCATAGGTAAACTTCAGCATTTTGGTTTTAGCATTCATTTACTAGATTTCATTTCTTCTTACTTGCATGATAGAAAGCAGTACGTTTCTTACAATGGTTTCAAATCTTCACTATACTCGGCCTCATCCGATGTAACGCAGGGATCTTCTTTCTTTATTTTATCAATGACCTCCCTAACTGCTTAACCTGTCCTTCGCTGTTAAGACATTGTCCTTTAAATAGATGTATCTGTTGGGCAATAAATACAGGGTGTCCGCAAAGTTGGGGTTTTCCTTTTCAGAAACCCAGAAACCCTTTAAATAACAAAGGTAATGTGTAGTGAAACGAGGGCGACCAAGTAAAAAAAAATAAAGGAAAAAGTACTCACTCTCCAGTTGACGAGAAGGGCTAAGTACGTCTCTGCCCGAAATCATACCGCTCCAACAGAAAATGAAATCACCTGATGCGCTACCGAGCAGACGCCGGCGGTGGTGCAGACCACGAACAGAGGTAACAAATATGACCATCGTGCAAAAACCACATTGATTGTCTTACACTTAATGGCACATCTTCTAGCAAGGAAGGCAAAATGTTGCGTAAAAAGTCTAGGTATTGCATCCCGTCCAATCGATTTGGTCCAATGAGCATACCGTTCACCAGGCCAGCCCAAACATTCACCGAAAATGTTTGTTGGAAATGTGCCCGACGGACAGCGTGCGGATTTTCTACTGACCAAACATGAGTGTTGCGAAAGTTATTCACCCCATTACGCGTGAACGTAGATTCGTCTGTCACCAATATGCACTCCAAAAAGTCCGGATTATTGTCATGTTGATGCAACAACCACTCACAAAACCGTACTCTTGCTGGAAAATCATCAGGTTGAAGGGCTTGTACACGTTGGACGTGAAACGGATACGGCCCCTCTTCACGCAGCGTTTGCCACACTTTAGTTTTTGATACTTGCACTTCTCTAGTGCTTGTTGAGGGATTCTCGTATACGCCATTACCTCTACACGCGTGACCGTAACCGTCGGTTGAAGGTTGCATACTGACCTGACACACTGACCCCGACCCAGTTCTGTCGTCGGGTTGAGCCAGGGACCTTGTACCAGTCGGTGATGTCGCGGCTACAGGACGGTATTCAGATATTTTTGATGTTGCAGAACCCTTTATCTCGGTTCCCTTAAGACATTGGTGTATATGGTACTAAGAAAAATTGCTTATGTTTTCAAGATATACACGTCGTGTAAAGGAAAACCCCAACTTTGTGGACACCCTGTATATTATTATTATTATCAACCGTTTACCTTGGCTACCACGATTGCCCGAACTATCTCCAATTAAACATGTCTGGGACATGATAGTTCGTAGGCTCTAGAATTTGAAACACCCTCCACAGTATGTAGCAGCTTTTACTCGCGATGTTACAGTGGCTTGGAATGAGATACCCTAACATGATATCGACCACCTTATCAGCATGATGCCCAGGCATGTCAACGGGTGTATAAGAAATCGTGAATCCTCAACACATTATTGAACCAGCTTCTGTAGTCAGTTGACGAATCAAGCTGAAAATTTAATCATTTTACTAGTAAGGGAGACTGAATATACAGGGTGTTTCAGTTTATTGTTGCATAACTTTAAGATTCGATAGAACTTTTAAAATTAATGCATAAAGTCTAAAATAGTTTTTTCTAAATATGTCGAACAATATTTGATGTATAATAGTGAAAATTGGTATACAAGGGTTTTTTGGTACGACAAAACGAAGCATGGACATAGTTTTACTGTAGCCGCTAGAGGGCGCTCTCTACTGTACCTATACTGTATTAAAATGACCGAAAATTTTTTCTTAGTGCAATTTTTTGCTTTTTGAATAAAAAAAACTGATTCTTCGCACTTTTCAACATAAAAAATCTCTCTTGTGAATATTCGTTATAGTTAGCCGTTTTTGAGATATTTCGATTTTTAAGGTTCGATGCATTTTTAATTATTTATGATAAAATAACGTTAAAAAGTCAGTATCTCGATAATTTTTAGAAGTAGGCTGTGCCTGCAAATATTTTTGAAAGCAGAATAAGGTTAAACGTCAATTAGTCGACAGTTAGTTTTGTTGTTTGTTGAAACACACATCAAGAATCCACTGACATTTTGTTAGTGGATTCTTGATAGAACTGATAATAATAGGGAGTTTTTAAGTAACGTTTTATGGACCGATGAGTCACGCTTCACTAGACGTGAAGTGGCAAATTTTCATAATCAACATATTTGGTCGCACGAAAATCCGCATGCAGTTCGGGAAAGAAATTTTCAGCATGAATTTAGTGTGAACGTGTGGATTGGACCCTACCTTTTGCCTGCAAGGTTAAATGCTGCGACCTTCCTGGAATTTTTAAAAGCTGAACATGCAAATATGTGGGATGATGTTATGTTTGATTTAAGAAGATTGGCCTGGTTGCAGCTTGATGGTTGTCCAGCTCATTATTCGAGAATAGTTAGAAACTGGCTGAACGAAAATTATCCAGAAAGATGGATCGGCCGTGGAGGACCAGTCACCTGACCTCCACGATCCCCTGACCTAAATCCATTAGATTTCTTTGTGTGGGGATTTCTAAAAGAAAAAGTGTACCAGACTCCCGTAACCACAAGAGATATGCTAATAGACAGAATCAGGAATGCATGTGATGAAATAAGGCCTTATTTGAATAATGCTATACCACGTTCGATCATTCGTAGATGTGAATTGTGTACTGAACAATTGGGTTTACATTTCGAGCAACCGAGTACTTTAGATTTTGTATGTTTGTCCTAACTATCCAATAGCATTTTAGTTGTAAATAATTAATTTAATT